AGTCCTCAGGGATGCTATTTGGGGTCTTTTGGCAAGGATCTAGGGGGCCTCCGGCGAGGACTTTTGGGGGTCTCTTGGGGGCCTTTTGGGGGCCTTTGGGGGGTCTCTTGTGGGCCTTTTCGGGTGTCCTGGAGGCCTCTTGTGGCTTGGGACCTCTTGGGAACATCTTGGGGCCTCCTGGGAGCTTTTCGGGGCCGACGGCTCGAAATGTCCGTTCGGGTTCCCCGTCGAGGCGTGCTATTGGAGCCGACTTGGGAGCCACTTGGGCTGTCTTGGAGGCGTTTTGGCTTGTCCTTGGGTTCTCTTGGGATGTTTTGGAACGCTCTTGGAAGCCTCTTGGATCGTCTTGGGGCGATTTTGCGGGCGTCTTCGGCTATCTTGGGGCGGCGGGAAGCAGAAAAGGCGAGAACGCCCAAATCGATCAAAAACCAAAAAGGTAAATTAATGTTTTTTCCTCGCCGGGCCTTCTCGGGAGTGCCTTTGGAGGCCTCTTGTCTCGAGGCTCAAGGCTCAAAGGGGCTTAAGCCCTAGGCAGTCAACAAACATCGCCTTCATTCGTTGCATCTGCGCCATGGCATGGGCCAAACATTAATCGGCTGAAACGTCGAACAGCAAAGATGTGCGTTTGGAAAGGCGATGGCAATGCAGACCGGGCCCGCGACGGGAACGCAGAAAGTTCGCAGAAGTGATCGAAGAAAAGCTTGACGCGATATCGAATGACCATGTGCTATAATCCTCTGGCTGGGCGAAATCGAGTCTTACTCTTTGCGCGCAGAAGTGCAGGCCAATCAATATTGTCAGCGCCCTGTCCCAATGGAACCTGTCGCAGCAACGCCAGGGAGAACTTGGTGCGCTGAGGTACCTAAAATTGTGTACGTCGACAAGGTTGTCGAAGTTCCCAAGGTTGCACTTGTGGAAAAGATCGCAGAGCAGACGCTTATCATGCCAAGGGCGAAATGAGTCGAGACTGGCGCCCCTTCCTGCGAGCCGAGTCGCGCATCTAGCGAAGATGAAACGATCAAGGAAGTGGAGGCCACAGTCGGCGGTCTACTCTTAAGCACTCAGACAGAAATCGGTTTGTTCATCGACGTGAAGGGCGAAACAAGATGCGTGGGTTTGGTGCTGGATACGCTTGGGAACCAAAATGTAGAATGCAAATCAGCATTCCCCAAGAAGTTATCGAGGGTTGTATTGGAGCAACGCTATGAGTTCACGCGTCGATATTGTCTCTGGCGGCGCGCGCGCGACAACTTGCAGAATGGGACTGGAGACCCGCCGAGCAAGACAGGCGGGTTTTTTTGAATTGATGTTCACACTGCGCAAACTATGGCCGAGGCGATGGGCTCCGCGCAAACGCGCGCGAGGCAGCCGCGCTCCTTTTTTTACGACAGTGGAGCCATGGATACGCACTCGAGATCGCAAAGTAACCACGCGCTACGACATCTCAGTTTCGGCGCTCCAGCGCCCCCGCTGAGCTCTTCGAGGGCCGCCCCCCGGGGCGTGCGCCGGCGCTTATCCTGTCCTGTCCCTTGGGCGCCCTGTGGAGAGGGGTCTTGGAAGTCCTGGGGCCGCCTGGAGGTCTCGCGGAGACTTCCCGGGGGCGGGCTTCCCGGGCCGCGCCGGGCTTCCCGGGCCGCGCGGGGGCCGCGCGAGGGTTTCGGAATCGCGCGGGGGGGGAGATGCGAATCTGGGCGGCGACCCCCCTCGGGGCCCCCCCGCGACCCCCCCCCCCCGGCGCGAGGGGGGGGTCAAAGGGAAGGAGCTCCGCTGCGATTCGATTGCGACATTGTGAGATTCTTATCGCGCTGAAACGTTTGAGTGGAGCGAAGGGAAAGGGGGCGACGCAGACGACGACTCGAACAGACAAACCCCTCGAACGCGCCGACAGGGTCGGCGGACCCCGTGGTAGACGCCCATCTGGATCGCGCGCTGCGCCCTCATCTCGCGGCAAAAATCGCGCGAGAGATCCAGTGGGCGATGGCCCATCCGATGTATATCCAGGCGTGGGTCCTACGCAAGGCGCCAGCTTCAGTAAATGTGGCAGGCAAGGCGGGTTCGACGCGACTTTCAAGTGGAACGACTGCGCGATGCTCGAAATATTCCAGAGGAGAGGTCAGGAGCGGGGGCGGAGGGGAGGGGGCGTCCGTCTTTCAAGGCCGGGGAGGGCATCGGACTGGCTGCACTCTCGCGGGAGATGGGTGGACAACATATACCCCATGAGCAACGGCATCGAACACCTCGCGGCGATGGTCACTCAGAACACACTTGATTTTGCCAGGGAGGGGCTGCCGTGGAAGAGGCAGTCATTATGTGATGTATCAACCGACTCGGACGCGCAAGCTTTGCGTGTTCTTGCAGTGTTTCCGGGAGGAGTGGATTGCGCCATGTCCAAGGTCGACGATTTCGAGATATTGGGCGTCTTATTAGTTCCGCGAAGCGGGACCGCGGCTCCCATGGTGAATTTTCGCATTGAAGCGGCTGCCCGGTTTTTTGGGAAAAAATGCAGGTGTCCATCGGCGTCGCGCCATGCCACTTCGAAGGCGCTCCCAGAAGTGCAGCGCTGAGGTTGTTCCGCGCGCGCTGTTTCGCAGTGGCGTTTGGGCCTGGGGCCAGCCCTCTATCAGAAATTGGACCAGTGGTCAAGTATTCAACTGAAGCGGATTTTGGCGTCCAGGAGGCGACCGCGCTGGACTCCGATCGACCGCCGGCGCAGATCAATTTCCAGAGCCAAAAAGTTGCACGCACAAATAAGCTTTGAACCATTACAGAGCGCTCAACGTGATTCTTGCCCAGGCACGTCAATCAATAGCGCCCCCGCGCACTTGTCCCATCGGCCCAGAGAGAGCGTCGGAAAAGGTGCGCTGTCTCGATTCCGCGGCCCAGGAGATCTCCCCGACCATGGCCCGCGAGTTAGTGCACGACGTCGTTAGCTCGAGGGGCGCAGCTTTCTGGAGACAGACGCGAGCGGCGGGGCCCCAAGTGAACCCGCGCAACGAGACCAGGGTGGGGAGGTGGAAGCATGCTCTGGGGCACGCGAGACCTCGACAAGTTGACGACATTATGGTGGAGGCTGTCGGTGTTACGTGGGCGGTCAGAGGGCCTTCCCGTGCCACTATGGGCTCCGATGCTTCGGATCGACTGGCGACGCAGGCTTTGAGGTCGTCGGCGATGCCGCTGCCGGCTTGCGGCAGGCAGAGCACGCATTCCCTGGCAAAGGTGGGTCTTCCCATGAAGAAGGCTCGATTAGCACCTCCTGCCACGGTCTTTTGGTCAGTGGCCCACTCGGCACCCCGCGTCGAATTCGCGGGCGATTCAAACTTGATAGTGCAGTGGATGACCGGTATGTGGTTAGTGCGGAAAGGCCGGCACAGTGGCATTGTGCGCGAGGTCCAGACGAAGGCGCATGCATTCTGGAAGGAGGGTTTTATTTTGCCACGTCATGGAGCGCCAGATAAGTTCTGGCACCACTATCGCGAGTACAATTCGGCAGCAGACAGTCTAGCAATAATTGGAATGGCAATTGATTGGGGCCCAGGATACGACGCACAGTACCAATTTATGAGTGTGCGGGAACATAAAACAAGGCGAGGTTCATCACGTGCACTTTGGATGGGGGCCAGAAGAGCGGTGATATTCGTTGCGGGTGGAAAATCTGGGCTGCATTTCATAGCGGCGGGGCTTGTTCTGAGGACTTGCAGTGCAAACCTGTGGCTGAGGCCGGAGTGCACCTTGGGAAGGGTACAATAAAAAATGCTGAAATTTGCGAATGCCATGACATGGCGTGCCTCTACACATGCTCCGTCGAGACAACCGTGTTTTCAAGTACTTTTCAGAAACAGGCAGAGCTACTTCCAAGGAGCGTATCGCACCACCGTTACAAGCTTGAGCATTATGATTTGTTTTTGCCACGTCTGGAATCAGGCAGTAGTGGCTCAGACAAAATCATCATCATCATCGTCGTCGTCGTCGTCATCAGCATCATCCTCATCAGCCTCGTCGTCATCCTCGTCATCGTCCTCATCCTCATCCCCCCCTCATCCTCCTCATCCTTGTCATCCTCCTCACCCTCATCCCCATCATCGTCATCATCAGCATCGTCACCGATACCATCATTAACATCATCATAATCACCATCATCATCAGTACTACCACCGCCAGCGTCACTACATCATCACATCATCGTCATCGTCTTCAACATCGCCATCATCATTATTGTAAGTATCGCTCCTATCAGAAGAAGCATCATCACCGTCACCACCGTCATCATCACCACCACCACCTTGACCAACATCATCACTTGCATCAGCATCATCATAATCATCACCATCATCGTCATCATCGTCATCATCATCAGCACCACCACCGTCATCGTCATCATTATCGCCGTCATTATCATCATCCTCACAAACGTCGTCGTCATCTTCGTCCTCGTCCTCATCCTCATCCCCCCTTATCACTATCAGCATCACCCTCATTATCAGCATCCTCCTTGGCATCATCAGCATGACCCTCATCTTCACCAACCTCATCATCCCCCCCTCATCCTCGTCATCCTTCTGCTCCTCCTCATCATCATCCCCATCATCGTCATAATCAGCATCGTCATCGATACCACCATCAAGATCATCAGAATCACGATCAACATAAGTACCACGACCACCAACGTCATTACATCATCACATCATTGTCGTCTTCACTATCACCATCACCATCGTTCTTGTTGTTACCATCACTATCAACAGTAGCATTTCTGTTACCGCCGCCATCATCATCACCACCACCATCATCACCATCACCGGCATCAGCATCATCAGAGTCATCGCCGTCATCGTCATCATCGTCATTCTCATCACCACTTCCTCCCCCCTCGCCCTCCGTCTGCCCCCTTGCCCTCCTTCTTCCCCCTCGCCCTCCTTTCCCCCTCCTCGTCACCTTCCCCCCCCCGCGCCTGACTCACACCCACATTAGGGTGGGTGGGGAGGGGGCGCTGCGGTACTGAGGCTACGACCTGTCGCGGCTCGGCCCGCCGCCGACGGAGGCCATCACCCGGCCGCTCAGGAGGAAGAGGCTCCGCTGCGGGGGCTGCGGCGAGCTGGAGGAGACGCCCTTCCTCGAGACAGGAAAAGGGGGGGGGGGGGAAGAAGGAGCGGGAGGAACGGGGGGGAAAGAGCAGGCCGAGAGGGGGGAGGAGGAGGAGGAGGAGGAGCAGGAGGAGGAGGAGGAGGAGGAGGAGGAGTAGCACGCAGTAGAGGGAGGAAGGCTGAGGGTTGGCCGAACCGACCCAACCCAAAACCTTAGCAGTGTCTGTGTCTCTGCTACGCTGCCCCACTACCCTATGCAAGGGGGGGGCGCGCGCGGGAGCGGCGCGCCTGCTGTTGGCGGCCGCGGCGGGCGGGCGGCAGGAGAGCTCATCCCTCCTGCTCCTGCCCCTCCTCCGCCTCCCGCTCCTGCTCCTCAGCTAAAGAGAGCATAAGCTGGTCAAGAGGGATAACACCATTCAGCTGAACCCCCGACTTCTTGGGGTGTCTGCCGTTGCAGATCTGCTGCCATGCATATCGGGCTCCACGGTTCTGACTTTCAGCAAAATGCGCAGGGCACGGAGATGTCAAGTTACGTGGGTTCGACACAGCATAAGCCCCGCACCTCTGACAAGCAATGATAAAGTTCTCTCCTGTTGTAAAATCTGCAACCACCAGCTTGTGGCCGTGGCTGTCTGCAGCGAGAGTCTTCAAAGGAGAATTGCCAGTGCACTTCTCACGGAGCCTCGATTCTTTACTATGGTCCGTCAAGGCTCGGGTTTTACAAAGCTTGCACACCCAGCCTCCCAGACTCCAGACCCAATCGTGCACAAGGAGGCCCCCAGCACCCCGAGACGCGGCGGGAGGACGGGGGGTAGGAAGCACGGGCTTGGAGCCTGGGGCGACGGCGGCCCCCACAGGAGGGGAATTTGACTTGCTTGGTTTGGCCAGAGCTCTGCCACCAGCCGAAGAGGCCACAGGAGGCCACTTTGGCAAGACCTTGCAAGCATATCTGAGGAACCGCTGCAAAAGTTTAAACCTGTATTCACTTATCTGCGCTTCGGCGGGTGAGGGTTTGGCCAGCTCGTTGGCAGCCCACTTCGCCCATTTGTCCGCCTCGGCATTGCCTGCGGCCTTCCTCCATTCGTCGGTGTGGCGTTCCAGACTGTCTAAGTCTTGGTGCGCCTTGACCTTAATTAGGCTGAGGTCTCGATGCCAGCCTGGACTACCTTTAATTAACAGCTTAATCCCTGCGTAGAAAATTCCTATGGGACAATGTTGGGTCGTGCAGCTTGCACGTGCCCGAGTAGTCAGCAACAAGAGACGTGATGTTACTGCCGTATCTAACAGCCGCGAGCGCCGCAAGATATTCGGCGGCAGGCGACGTTTGCGGAAGCTCGCGTCCCACTGGCCCCGCTAGGGCCGCTTGGGCTTCGCCCGAGATGGGGTCGAGAGCTACAACGGCCCATCCAGCTCGATGGTGACTTTGGGGACCGTCTTTAAAACAGGAGCCGTCGAGGTACAGCTCACCTTGCAGGGCTTGGGCTGGGGTGGTATGAGGGTCAACCGCCCACAGCGTCGCTTCCTCCAGACCAAGCCCTGGCGGAGCCTGGTTGTCGAAGGTATCCTTAACTCCTAGGCCGGCCTGCAAGTGAGCCCAATCGGCAGTCTTGAGAGTATCTATGTCTTCAAAGCTTAAGTCTTCGCTGCGGTCCGCAGCTGAAAGCACACATTCAAACAACCGATGGAGCATACTATCATGCTGGTGCCCACATGGGCATTTCGTATCTACTTCATAGCCTGCCTCGCTGAGACCATACTTGGTCCATATGCTTTGGGAGAGGAAGGCGAGGAGGATGGAGCGCTCGCGCGGAGGGCGAGAGGGGGAGTGGAGGATGGAAAGGGCAGCAGAGACGCAGACCTGATCCTCCACCCATCCCAGTCGCTGGCTCGCTTGCTCCACCAGCCTGTCCCTCCAGGCTCTCTGTAGCGCTGCGGAGAGGAGCGCGGGCGACACGGAGGTGAGGATATAGGTCCTGCCGTCCTTATCTTGGCACTTAAAAGGGCTTACCGCTTTCCACCCAATCCTTTCAAGAGACAACAGACAAGCTCCGAAAGGGCCCCGGGACTCCGTCCATCTCTTAGGGGGTGCTTTTAAAATGGGCTCCACCAAATCGCGCAGCTGAGGCAATGTCCAGCCTCCTGCATTGGTTGTTGCCGCCCTCCAAACAATTTTAGCCCACGTCAGGCATGGGCCACATGCTACCTTCCAGGTGGGGTCGTTGAGGAGAAGGGGGCAGAGGGAGCGAGACCTGGTGGTGCATCTTGGGCCGCATGCTTTCAAAAACGTGGTTTGAATAGCCCTCACTTCGCCGTCATCCGCTCCAACAACCTCCGTCCCGTAGTATCCTGCCTGCTGCAACCCACCTGAGTAAAGCTTACTGATGTTAGCCCCTCCTTCTCGAAGGCTGTTAAGTTTGAAGAGGCGCTTGCGCAGCTTTGCGTGCCGTCCTATTGCTGTAGGCCTGTACTTCTTGTACATTCTGCTGCGCCCAGCGCTGTAGTCGATGCCTAAGTTGGCTGCCGAGTCTAGTGCCTGCCCGCCTTTGGTTCCAGGGGCCTTGACTATCTGCAACTGCAACTTCTCAGAAGACGCAAGGACTACTGATTTGTGATCGGCCACAGAGCACTGTAGGTCTAACTCGATAACCTGTCGCATGTCATGGGCTGCTTCTGTCAGGTTTGTTAGCACCGTCAGCATCGAACTGCTTTGTGCTTGCTGGAGGAAGTCGTCGATGAAGACGCTCAGCTGCACCATACTGTGCTGAGACTGCCAGGCGTCTAGTTCGTTGATGCAATAAATTTGAACGAGGTAAGTGGCGAAGCTGTCGCCTGCTGGGATGCCCCTGGTGGTGTAACCCACGTCGGTGACCATAGATGAGAACGACACTAACCTTCTAGACTTATGCTGATTGAGTATGACCGATAACATGTGGGAGCTGAACTTGTTGTGGAGCGCTTTCTGGTACAGGTCCTCTCTGTCCACATGCTCGTAAAAGTTGCTTAAATCCCACATGATCGTGCCCGTGTGCATCACGGGGTTGACGTACTGTCCTCTTTCTGCACTTAAGGCCTGCATATAGACTAGTTCACAAATGGACCTGCCCGGTTGGTGGCACAAAAACCTTCTCTTGTGGTTCTGTTCCCAAGACTTGGCCACGTGCTGCCTAGCGCGTGCCCATAACCTGTAAAGGCTGGGGAGCATGCCTATACCTCTGTACTGGGGCTGGCTGCCTGTCTTCTTGTGCTTCGGAATGATCACCGTCAGAACGGCGCGCAGCGGAGTGGGAAAGGTCCCCAGGGCCTCCACGAGTTTAAACAGGGTGGCCATTAGCTCCAGCCCAACTTGGCCAATCATTTTGAAGTGCACTGGGTGAAAACCGTCCCAAGTCATCCCTGTGGTTTTGGGGAAGGTTTTGGCAGCTGCAAGGATCTGCTGAGGCTGTAGGGGTGACGGCGGCTCTTCGTCTGGGGCTCCCTGAAACAGTGGGCCTTCGTGGGATAAGGACTGCCACAGCTCCTGCAATCTACCTGCCTCAGCCTGCAGCAGGTGACTGGGCCTCCCTGACCACCTGCCTCCATGCCTAACTGCCTGCGGCTGCCAGGGGGGGGAACTGCGAGAGTAGGCGTGTGCTTTGCCCGCTCTTCCTTGCATGGCCTCGGCTACCCAGTCCCTCCACTGCTTGTTGCTGTCGCTGGCGCTCTGCCTCTCCTCCTGACTGATGCCGCTCTCCAGCTCATCTAAGAAATCAACGAACATGCGATCGACCAACTCGGCGTTGAGGCACCCGGCCTGGCTGTCCAGACCGATGGCCAGCAGGAGGTTCCTAAACGTATCCAGGGCCTGCTGGAGTGACCCAGAGTTGCTGAACTGCCGGGGCGGGGACTGAACCTCTTCTAAGGCCCAGTTGACGTCATATCTGGAAATGCTGGTCACACTTTCTGGACACTTGCCCGCGAAGAAGGCTCTAGTTTCCTGCGCTTTGCCCCTGAGCCAGATCAGAGGTTTCGCCAGGGAACCCCAAACCCAAGACTTCTGGTGCTTCTTCTGGAAGGCCGTGGCGGGGACCCATTTCACCGTGGGAGGTTTGCCGCGAAGAGACGGTTGACGAAGTTGCGTATCCGTGCTCCTAGCAATTGCCTGCTCCATGTCCTGGACCAGGGCCTGATACGCTGCATCCAGGGCTGCTTGCTTGGTTGCCATGCTGTGCTTGACCACCTCGCCTTCCTCTGTGAAAAACATCTCCTCCGCCTTCCTCATCGCTGCCGTCGCTGCCGTCCAGGGAAGCTGCTGCAGGAGAGGGCCGAAGGGGAAGCTGCGGGGGAGCTGCTGAGGCTGCTGCAATACTGGAATAAAATACTGCCCACTTTCCAGTTCCAACTGCACTACTCTGTGCGGGGTCAGGGGGTATTCGAGGATGCTGGTCTCTACCACTCTGTCATCCAAGGCTTCTGACACAAGAAAATAATCCAAGATCGACCTGCTCTTCTTGGCAACATGTGTGGGCTTAACAGTACTATGAATCCGAACTGTCGCTCTCACCACAAAGTCTGTCTGCAACAAGGTGGTCGGAGTAAGGTTAAAATCCCCTCCCATCACCATCGGCATCTTGCACTGCTGCTGAATCTCTCCCGCTGCTGCTAGCAACTGGGCATTTCTCTGAGACATCCCCTCCGAGTCATATAGATAGATCGAGACAACTGCCAGCTGTCCTAATCCAGGTGCCTCCACAGCAACTGCTGTCAGGCGGTGGGGACTTTCAAGATGAGGTAGTGTGATAGAACGAACGCCTAAGTCAAGACCTGCTCGAATCAAGATCGCTGTGCCCCCCCGAGGGGCGCTCTTGGTCCGTCAAGCGAGCTGGCGTGACGATAGCATGCCAGCCCTGAGAGCTGGCCCATGTAGTAGCCGATGTTATTGCCTCTGGTTGCCAGAGGCGTACTTCTTGCGCTAGCACAATACCGACGGGTCCTGCAAAATGAGAGGTGACAAAATCTTTTACTGCCCTCCAGCAGCTGC